ATTAGGAACTTCCCAGCCAACTCAAAACGGTGGACAATTATCAACTCCTACCGGGTCGTCAACGCCTGGTGTCAACAACAATGCCGCACCGGGGCCGATTCCGGCGACTACTCCGCTGGTCGTGAGGCAAGATAATAACGGCGTGCAGTGGATTGCCTTCGAATATTCCCGCGATAGGGTAAAGATGGAATATACGATTCGCTGTGATGTTGAGTCCGTAAACGCCGACGATCTTGGCAGCGATTTTAAGACGGAAAACTGTGTTTATCCTAGAGCATGCTGTCCCAAAGACCAGTACAGAGGGAATCGGTTACAGTACGAGACTGAATGCAACACCGTTGGCTGGGCATTGGCCCAGCTCAATCCATGCCTCCGCGGGAAGAGGGGACTTATTCAGAGAGCTGTCGACAGCTGGCGGAATAGCAATCAAGACCCTCGGTTGCGAAGTAGACGCGTGCGTCGAATGGCCAAGATGAACAATCGCAAGGCGGTTCAGACTCCCCACTCCACACACATGTCCGGTCCCAGTGGTCCGGCAGGGATGTCAACCCCTGGGGCCATTGGCCCTGGTGGCGGTACGCCCATGGGGAAACCTGGGATGAGTAACATGGGTCCGCAGATGCACCATCACCACGCCCACGAAGGAGGTGCTCAGGGTGGAGGAGATGAAGTCGGTATGTTTCACCAGATGTGATTCATGCGTTGCTATTGTTGTCGTTGTCGTTGCTGTTGTCATTGTGCAATTACGTGATACCTCTTATCATTATACCTCGTGCCTGTTCGGTTATTTTTGGATTGGACGCCATTTCATGTTTATATAACGGCGCAAAGCCGCGGGCGCTTTTGGAGCACTGGGGGACTGGCACTATTCTGTACATTATCTAGCTGCCATGCACTTGGTAGTCCTTGCTGCTTCGGGACGGTCTAGTCGTCTGTCTGATAGCAAAAGTTGCATGGCATTGCTTTGCATCTCGCTGCACAAACACACCAAGCGCACATATCACTACCTCACGCCGCTGTCTTTGTATTGGAACCCTTTCTGCCACAAAATTGCAAATATCACATCGAATCAGTTTTTTTGCTGCCTTAATTTGCGCTATAGCGTCTCGACCCTAGTGCAATCCCGCTAATTTGAATCTCTGTACAGGGGATGGAGAGTATGTGGATGGATCTCATCATCACCATCATCAAGCACCCACCGGGCCGGCATCTAGAAATCAAGACGACGTCCGTCCGGCTCAAGTTTTTACTGGCTATCCCCAACAGTACCCTAGCCATCCCGTCTCGGGATCGTCCATGCCACCGATCCATGATGGACTTGGCGGTTCTCACCACAACACTATCGTAGCTCGACGCATGAGCAGAGATGATGACAAAAACCCGGAGGGCTTGTTTCCTGATATCCCCGATGCTAAGAAACGAAAATTCATACTGGTTGAGGATAACAAACGCAACTCTCGCCTTCGTGTACGCGTCACCCTTGAAGATGTGAATCCTAAAGAGATACCCGATTCATTTCGCAAAAGTTCGGCTGTGTTTCCACGCAGTTATTTCCCGCGCGAAATGCAAAGCCCACCTCCGAGCGCCACCGGTAGCCAATTCTTCGAAGATGACCTGAGTGACGATAACGTCGAAGTTGACGGTGGGCGGTCTAGGCGTGCCCGTAGGGGAAATGTAAGAGAACGGGTCATGGTGAAAGCCCCAATGTCCGATGGGAACGAGGCCGAGGTTGCTATACCGAGGATCAAAAGAGGCACTCGTATAAAGGAAGTACGACTCAACGACCTGGCTTACCGCATGGCGTGGATGCATAGCCGTGTGTTTGCGGGCAGGACCGTCTTCCTACAGCGAGCACGTAAGTTTACGTCCAAGTTTGTAGACTATTATTCGAAAACACCGCTGACATTTGCTAGTTGACTGTTACCGTAACAAGACTTGCACGGCAATCGAAGGCATGGCGCAAGACATGAAGACCATGGTGCCCCACTACGAAACCCGAGTTGGCAAGCGAAGATGGGGTGAGCGAATGCGTCGTGGCGAGAAACGAGATGACGAGTCTTAGTTTGACATATCTTGCCTCCTATCGGCTGTGTAGGTGGTCACTAACAAATACCCGCCGCTCGTCACCCTTTGTTTAAAGCTCCTCTTCTACGTCTCGAAACGCGTGGTATCTTTAGGGATTCTTTACTCCGTCAATCGGGCGGATAAAATAATATCTTCACACACATATTACGTACCGCGCTTGTATTATATCTGCGCTTCATAAACTAACCAAAAGGTCAACGATATCACACGATCAGCCTCTTATCCCACTGAAGCCTCTTTACTCTGAAAAGGGGGCTTTTGCCTGTCATTTTCGACCATGATATTTCGATCTTCTCCGATCTTCTCCGATCCGTCTTAACGACAGGAGTTTTCACGTTTCATTACGATAATGGTCCGTTTCTCAATTCCCACATAGGGCGCTTTAGTTCTACCTTGCCAGGGTCAGCTGCCCCAGGTTGGGTTGCTGGGCCGCCTTGGATCTACGTACAATTTGGCATCAGTCACTTCTACGTTCGGTTTTGTCCACGGGAAACAATCTCGGGATAGAGGAGTTTGCGTCTGTTCTGTTTTTAATTCATAGTGAGTGGGCTGGGAAAATGGAAAACTGAAAAAAAGGAACAAAATGAGAATATGTGCTATAAGCCCTTTCACGCTGGCAAAAAAGGGGGGTGGCTATAGGAGAGATACCAAGCACTGGTTTATTTTTCGTTGTTGGCCAAGGATGATGAAAAGGGGTGAGTGAGCATGAGGTTCAGTAGCCACATGTGATAAGCAAGAGAGAGGGCGTCGGTGATCGGGTTCCTCTAAGCTAATCATGGCTGGTCCTATAAGCCAGTGAGACAGAAGTATAACTTGATATCAATATTAGTAGTGATTTTGCTTTATCCTTGTGGATGAATTTCTTATCTTAATTATATGTCGTCACTTGAACTATATGTAAAAGGAGTTATGTTTCAGTTAGCATTACTTTAGGCCACGACGTTCGTATATCCATACTTGCCACGCGTGGTTGTCTTGAGGTTAATGAGACCGTTAAATGTTTAAGTTAGTTACCCGCCCCTCCCGAGACAAGAGCGCCTGGCGGCCTAGATATTAACTTTTAAAACGGCTGACGATGTATCGGACTTTCTAGACTTCGCGGCAGATTAAGTTCCCAACCAAGTGGCTGCGTCGATTTTAACAGCAGACAAATATGAAATCTACTTCATAACCTATTTGCCGCTTAATGCGAAGATGGCACGCAACTCATAGCATGCGACTCATAACATGTACAACTACTTGAGAAATGGGCTCTCAGTCCATTCTGCATTGGACTCTAGACCTCTTACTGAGAAGGCATGTAAAGCACCTAACTAGTAGACAAAAACGTTGGCATCCTATAATGTTGAGATATATTCAATAAAAAGTAGCACGAGACCCAAGAGATTTGCAAGTTTCCAGTTATTAAATTTTACTTTTTTATTGATAAACAGGTAACTTCGTTCACCCAACGAATATACTTTACTGTTTCCCCTATTTTAACACACACTGCCTAGTTGCTTACCTACCTAAGTACCTAGGTTAGGTAGGTAGGTAGGTAGGTAACCTAGAGGTACTAAGTGATCATCACAGGGGTAATAAAAAACGTATTCGTTATTTCTGAGTTTATCTCACCGACATGGCATCAGGGACGGCCCGTATTTATAAGACACTGCGGTCCGGGAGCGCCCGGCTGTGGCCACACGGCCACCATGTCTCAAAACCGGGCCTCAGGGAGTCAGATCTCGAGCTACCAGGTGCCATATCATTTATGTATCTACCCGATCATCCTTACGACTGAAGAAATCCGAGCATCATAGCCTGATATCATAGGTACCTATGTACCTAAGTTAGGTATGTTTATCCATCCCGTCCGCCTAAATACAGAAGAGCGATCGTCGTAATAGCGATTTCGTAGTAACTAGGTACCTAAGCCTAGCCAACTCACATATTTAGAAAGGGAAAACCTATCAGCCTTCTATAGATAGTATTTACCCCTAAGTACGGTATTGTATTACATTAAGTCCTTTCTTATTGAAAGATAAAAAGACATGGCGCGGATACCTACCTGCGTTACCTGCGTTACCTGCCCGGACGGGCCGGTGCCGCAGTGAGATGACGACAAGAGGGTACGGATAAGTACCTAACGTCTCGCACGTACGAGTAAACTAATAAGCTTAGTGGCAGGTGTACATATGGTAACATGAGGGGTGATATAACAAACCATAAATCAAAATCTAAGACTTGCAAAGAATACAACTCCTTCTCAGCTCATAAGACTCATACCGTATGTACATAACTCACATCCCGTTCTCTCTACCAGTCATTTTACTCTTACTTTTCGACTTTGCATTCGCTGTACTTGAGAACCTGTCAAATACATGACATATGTAGCTTTCATTTACATAACTCGTATCATATATAAATAAAAACACGAAAAAAAAAAATCTACGGGGTATATCTAACTAAGACCTTCCTTTCACATCCAACTCAGCTCCCCCTCCCTCGTCTGCGGGTATCTGACTTTTTTGGCAGTGACAATTGTAGTGGTGACAAAGGGAAAGGTCATCAGAGAGACAGAGAAGAAAAGAAAGGAAAAGAAAAGAGTCACAAACGACGGACTATACATAGGTGTGATAATCTAGAAACCCAAAATATCCTCATTCCTTCCCTTATCTTGCACCTTGCTCCGTACACGCTTGCTCGTCAACCCGCATACATGTAAGTCATATCGTTTCATTCGTATATACGTGAGATAGCAAAGGGAAAAAAAAAAAAAAAAAAAAAACCCCTTCATCCTCCCCGCACATCTTTCTGTACAGGTATCGTATCGTGTCATGTCTCCTTCTCTTCCATACACACATACATATATATGTTTGCCCCTGACGTGCTCGAGTCTATATATCTCGGAAGATGAGAAGAGTTCCTCGTCGGTGATGTATACATGGAACGAGTAAATAGCGTATGTTAGGTATGTATCATGTACATATTTTATATAGTAGTCGCGGGAAAGGGTAGGCTAGCTTGGCTTAACTAACGCCTGTCGCTTGCCTTGGTAGAGACGGAGTCGTAGTCCCGGTGAGGGCGGTGGGGGCGGGTATCGTGGCTGGTGTTGCTGCTGACGTCGTATTCGATTGCCCGACGGCCCCGGGCGTCGTCCTCGGAGTCCGAACCTTGCCTGTGTGCGCGGCGAGGACGCTCTCTGTCGTCATCCCGGTCACGGTACTTTCTATAGTCGTGGTCGGTCTTGTGATCGCGAGGGTTGTGGTGAATACGCCTCTCGTCATCCGAGTAGTCGCGGTCCTCGCGGTGAGACTCGTAGTTGCGCTCCTGGCCAAACTGCTTCTCGTATTCTCTTCTCTTCTCCGCTGCTCGCTCGTTAGTAAGGTGTTTCGACCGGAATAGAATAGAAATGGGATAGTTAGGCTTATTTATAACTGCCTTGACTTGAACCTACCTCGAATTTTGGCCGTGTCGTTGGCGTATTTCTGGATGTCCTCCTTGGTTAACACCCGTAGAACGATGACGAAGTCGTCGCGGACTTCGAAGCGCTCCTTGCCATTCTCCAGGGCGGCGGGGTTGATCAGTTTCCTGTTGATCTTGGTCCACCGTGCACCCGGTGGGACACCCTTCTTCGTCTTGTCATCCTTGTGTGGCGCGACGCCTTCTCGGATGGGGTTTTGATCCTCGGGGAACTTTGCGCTTGGCGGCTTTAGGATGCCCTTGATAGGCTTCTGATCAGACTTCTCTCGTGGAGGCGAGACAACTCGGACTTGCTTCTCCTTCTCTGCAATGGCGGCATCACGGCCGCGAGATTCCTCACGCGAGGTGGTCGACATACGCTCCACAGAAACAGAACGAGTCGTCTCCTTTTCCGATACTGCCTCCTTGGTGGCTGGCTTCTCCTTTGTCTTGTCCTGGTCCTCTTTTGCGGCCAGTTCCGCTTTTACATCCAGCAAATCAATTGTGTCTGTAGGATCAAAGGTCGAAGAGTTACGACGCCGCCTTCGCGGTGCTGGTGTAGAGTCGTCAGGATTTAACGAGTCGTCTTTCGAGTCTGCCGCGGCGGATCCGTTGACTCTGGTTTTGTCATCCCGGCCGCTGCGCTCGCGTTCACGTTCAGCCTCTCGTTCTATTTCACGTTCTCGCTGAAGTGCTTCTTTCTCTCGTTCTCGCTCCCGCTCCCGTTCCTTCTCAAATTCCCGTTGGTCTCGTTCCCTCTCCCGTTCGCGCTCATAAGCTCGCTCACGGACACGTTCCCTTTCGAGTTCGCGCTCCCTAGAACCTGATGTCGAGTCCGTCTGCTCTCTCCGGGATTCCCGTCGCGAGTCTACAGCGACTGGTTCTTCTCGAATGGATGCTTTTCGTTCTATATCCTTCTCTTTGGGCTTATACTTATCCGCGGTGCGAGAGCTTCCGGCGTCTTTATCTTCATCCGGGTCCCGTCGTCGTGGAGAAACCTTCCGATCGTCATCCTTAGTAGTAGTATCTCTGGGTGCAAGACCCACCGCCGCCGCAGCAGCAACACCTAATCCGGCGACGACTTTGTCACGAGTCCGACCGCCTACACCGTTCTTCTGGGTGGCGCTATCTCTTTGGTCCCGAACTGAGTTGGTTCGGCTTACGGTGTCCTCGGCAGGCTTCCGGGAATCATGACTCCGAGTGTAGTCGATCGACTCATCAGAGCGGCGTCGAGGCTCGCGCTCTGCTACGTCTCGTCGCTGACGTCGATCATCGTAGTCGCGCCGATCAACTGACCTTGCCGGACGATCCGAGCGCTCTGGTTCCAGCGTGTTCGTGCGAATCCCAAATCCACGAGCGGGGACATCGTCATCGCGGTATCCGTCCTTGCGATCTGAGCGACGGTGCACGCGCTCGTCATCGTGGGAGCGATAAAGTTCATCCGGATGCGACATGCGCGCTGGCGTATCTTGATATAAAGAAACTGGGCGCGGTCGAGCTGCCTTGCGGTCTGGCGACGGGTCTCTCGGCGCTTCAATCCGGCGTAGGGGATCAACCGGCGGAGCAGCAGGTACCGGTGGTGGTAAAGCAGGCATAGTGACGGTAGGACGATCATAAATACCTGTGGCTGTAGTTCTGTTGTAACGGTCGAGTGCGCCGGATGCAGGAGGTGGTCCGCGACCGCGAGTATCGTAACGGCCCAGATCATTACTCACGACATTCACGGTAGGGCGGTGGTAAGAACGATCAAGGCTCTCCTTTCGACTTCTATGCGCTAGCTGGCGATCATGATCTAAATCGTACCTGGCCAAATCGCTAGGTTTTGTATACTCATAGCCTTCGTTATCATAATCGACAACTGCCGTGTTGTTAAGGTCGTAGGAAGGAGCCGTATAGTTGGCATGAGGAAGCGAAGAGCGGTAATAATCAGTTGCGACATGCGTTGGTGGTCGAAGTCTGTCGTCGCCGACTCGCTCCCTCAACCGAGAGAATTCTTCATTGCTCAAGGTTGCGCTTTGGGTATAACCGTGGCCATATCGGGCCTGGCTTCGAGAACGTATTGAAGAGGCCGGTTGCGTATAGTAGGTTTCATCGCTTGACCGGTAAGGATCGCGCGACGGGCTGGTTGTGCGCGCGGCAGACGACGTATGAGAAGCGGTACCGTGAGGTCGACTGGCGTGATTGGTGGTGACTATGATAGGCTTCACAGGATTGGTATCTACCGTTGACGAGCGACGACGGGATGTATTGGAATTAGAGCTTCGTTGCGCCGCGACGGTAGCAGCAGCAGTAGCAGCGCCAGGCTCTTTAGTAACGTTGTAGGTGGTGATAGTAGCAGTGGGATTCGAAGGCGCTTTATGATCAGTCGCTCTTCTTGGAACAGCGGCATCATAACGAGCCGTCTGAACCGTATGAAGATCCCCGCTGTAATGAGGGTTATACCCAATGCTCACGGGCATCGATGCTCGCGCGGGGTTAAACTGAGGCGACCTACGACCCGAATAACGGTATCGTGGCTCAGCCATCTTGTCGACTAGCTTATTCAGAATATTATACGACGCAGCGCAGTCTTCTGCTAGTCAACAACGATGACGATGACGATGACGATGACGATGTAACCAAACTCGTCTTCTTAGTTAATAGTTAATGGTTAAGGGTTGGTAGGTTAAGGTAAGTTGGTAGGTTGGTAGGTTGGTAGGTGTCTTTTTTGGGTGTGAGTCAGAAAAGAGGATAAAGCAAATTTTAGAAAAGCTGGAAATTCCGCAAAGTCAGGGTGGGACGGACGTAATTATGTCCGGCTTATATTATTAGGTCTGGTGAAATGACCAGGTTTTCGTGAGTACATAGAAGATTTTCCAATTTTAGGGGCGAAAGGAGTCTTGTGCCCTTCTCTTCCGTACGTTTTTGGTTTTTGTCAGGTCATAGAGAGAAAAAAAGAATGGGTCTACCTGGAACAGACAAATACGTGAGCAAAGTAAGCCTGTTAAGAATTTCAAATGCTCTCGGAGAATATAGTGAAATTTTTTTTAATGAGGACGACAGTCAAGGTACGGAGAACGAGAGGCCGATAGAGGACATGGAGTTGCATATACATACCTCCTAACCAAGGAACAAATATCGAATATCCTGGTAAAGAAATTGGCGACGATAAGGGTCCTACCGCGGGGTAGAAGCCATAGAACATGGAAGGGCTGGAGGGTTGGAGGGGTTGTATCGTTACGAGGTTGTGTCGTCGGGTTGGGCTGCAGAACAGGGAACCGGCGGTGAAATTGGGCCACTAAGAAGATGGGGACCCTTGAGACAGCCACGAGCCACAAGGTATGTACAGTACAGACGGTACAGACGGTACAGACGGTATGTACAGATCTCCCTGGTCTCTCTCTCTCTCTTATTCCCCTTTTCTAACAATTCTTGCCGGGCGTCGCACACTCTTACGAACTTTCGCTAGCTCTTCAGCCGGGAAGAGGCAAATAGTCCAAGTTGTTCCAGATCAGATGGATCAAGTGATCCCCGACCAAAAATGCAAGAATGTACTAGAGGAATCGGCCGAAGAGATCAACCAGGCGTGCGGTGATGGTTGTGGGACTGTGCGCTTTATCGGCTTATTGTATTTGCCTGAAGAGGATCCGTCCTCTACCCTCCAAGTCGAATTGGTAATGTAGGTAATATAGCCAATAATAAGCGGTTTTTACTGCCAAATATCCTGTCGTAGTCGCAGTAGGTAGCAGTAGGTAGCAGTAGGTAGTAGTAGGTAGTATGTAATAGTATGTAGTAGAGCGGGGTGTCGTCCTTGTGTGCCTCGCAATCACGGACTTAAATCTCTCAACTATATAATGAACGTCCGTCGGATATGTGCGACCCCTACTTATCCCCCCTCGCTCCGGCAGCGAACCGAGCAATGGATGCTTCTATATAGAATAAAGTATCCGTCGGTGGGAATAGCAATGATAGTCTTGAGGCTCTGTATGGGAATAAACGAAACGACTGGCGGGAAGCGTGTAACTAACCAACTATTCTCTAACCTAGCTGGTGGATTTCACCTTCATGCAGCTATGCAGCTAGGTGAACTCTTAGGTTAAGATGTCAGTTAAGGTCAGATCATGTATGTGTTAGGTATGTAAGTGTGGTTTTGCCATGCATTGAAGCAAGGGGAGGGAGTGGGGCGTGATTTGATTGAGTAGTCGTATGGTTCGAAGTGAGAAGAAACACGGTAGAATTTCGAAACCGTCCTTCACGTCCTGCTATTGGTTTCTCTTTTGGAGAGAGAGAATTTTCTTGTCGAGACGACGTCAACTGGTCTGATGACAAGAACCCCGTTTCCCGGTCAAGTTAAGAGAGAATGCCCAAGAAGCTAAGAAAGCTGAGAAGGCTAAGAAGGCTAGACCAAGACGGATAGGCAATAGAGCAAAAGCAACGTCGCTCTAGGTGAAATATGATAGATAGTAACAAATGACGATGGTGTGGTGGAGGATGTGCCCGCTTAGCGAATAGGATGGAGAATGCTCGGCGATGACGTCCCGCTTCGCAAAATAGAATCAAACCGCGTTGCGTTAATACATATGTAGCAAGACTTGGGCGACCCAGGCCGAGCTAAAAAAGACAAGCGACGGACAGGTACCCAGCCGAGCGAGGGCTGGTTACGCTGAACCGGAAGACTGGGAGGATCCCCGTTCAAGGGCTTCAAGGGCTTCAAGGGCTTCAAGGGCTTATGGAGGGATCAAATGTTGCCTAAAAAGGCTTGGAACGGGACAAGGTAAATTGACCTAGGTATTTCGCATTGTGTGTTAGTGTGTGCTCTTTCTCCTTCTCCTTCCTAGATCGTTATCCTCCAGGAACACGAACCAAATAACACCTGAATCAAGATCAGCGACCCGAGAAATTACGCCGCTATTATGTCCGTCGCAGGTAGGATCGACTGTATGTACAGTCGCAATGTCGTGGGGATGGATTAGAAATGCTTCCAAATTCCAGCGTACTATGTGTGTGTAGTATGTAGTATGCAGTATGTAAGTGGGAGTGGGAGTGGGAGTGGGAATGGGGATGGGAATGGGAATGTGACTATCAAGTAGGTAAGCAATCTATGTAGGTACCAGAACTGGCGTGTAAGTGTTCAATGGTTCCTGAATCTATTTATTATAGACTAATAAGTGTTAGTAGTGAGTGTTGGTCGGTTCTAATATTGGAAACTCGAATGTTGGCCGTATCCTTTTCATATATTTATTTTGTTGAGCTCTCTACGTAGACATCCCTAGGTTGGTTAAGTTTCGAATATTTCAACTTCTATTCTGTTGATAGGTAAATATGGAATGTTTTTGTCTCTTCATCTTTTCGGAATCTACCAACCATAGTTCCAATTTGGTAACCTGCCAATGAATGTTGTTGATAATTACATACGACGAATAGGCTCGTTCCCTCTAACAGTCACCTTAAAGCAACACGTAAAGGTGTCTCCAGCACATATTCTTCCGAGGCTTGGGGACTGCCTATTATTCTGTCGGCTGCAACTTTCATCATTAATCACACTCTCTCGCCATAGCAACAATAATAGCATAACCAATAGCCAAAACCTCTTTCTCCTTTTTTGTCGTCTTCACCTTACAGAGCATATCTCATCCGCCCTCTTGAGCTTGTTGGGAATGGTGAGGTCTGGTTCCGAACGCTCATTGGTGCGTATTTTGGTGATTCGGGCTTCAACGCTAACTCGATTGGAACCCAATGGTCCCTCCTCTCTGGCTGCGATATCTTCTTTGAGTCACGATTGTTACTTTGAATTGGCCAGGAAAAGTCACTCAGATTCTAACCCTCGTGCCTCGTACCTCGTACCTCGTGGCCCGGCCCGATCTTTTGGATCCGGCGTCTCGCCTCGTCTCATGTACATGGTAGACACGCGCTTAGTGGCGCGGAATTCTCGAAACACAGAAGGCTGCCTATGCATATTCAATCACTTCAGCTGGACAGTTATCCCTAGGTACCTAGGTTAGTCGAATGTCGTGTTGCCCAACTCGCGATTAACGGTTAATATTAACAGGACTACGTGCATATGCATTTACCTTAGGTATTGAATGACGGCTTGCGGTCTACGGTGGTGAGAGTAGAAAGAAAGCCGCCCAGGTGGCGAATCATTGAACTTCCCCTGTATGATTGGGCTGCTATAGTATCAAGGGATGCGATGCTTGACAACTCCTCGGGACCCCTCGCGGCATTTAGCATTACATACATATATCGCGCTTCTCGAATCATATGCCATTCATAAGCCAAGGCACGTTACGTAGAGCCCGTTTCAAATTGCCCTCCTACAGTTTCCCTACTTAGAGTTACCTAATCTAGTAATGGATATAATGGTTTGAGTTGAGGATGGAGACTACCCCGTTTCCATAGGTAGTTAAGGGATGGAAGATTCAGAGGCACGAATATTATAGCCGCTTTATTTAGTGAAGTTTACCATCATCCGTCATCCCTAACATTCGTACGCACCATATATACCTTTACCACCTAGGTACCCATACGAAATAAGGAGATATTGAGAAGATACGCCGTAGCAAAAGCTCCGTCGACAGCCGACTCTGGGGGTGATGACTGATGTCGATGATACCTAGGGCCCGGCTCCTCATTAATCTGGGGTTCCTGGTCTAGGTTGGGCGGAAATAGCACATTCGATATACGTACAAAGCATATCATACATAACTAACGTTAGCATGAGGAATCAGTTTTCACGACATATCCTGACTAGCCAGGCCAAGGAGCTGACAGATCCATGGCTATCAGGTAGTTATGCCCGACGATAGAATATAGATGTTCAAATGTGACCCTTTAAACTCTTGGGGCCGCGTGTTAGTCACCCTTGCGGGTTGAACACACATGGTAGATGGTCTGTACAGGCGCGTAGTCGGTTTAGGCGCCGTGTACCCAGGTTAACCTAAGCTTCCCGCTTCCTCAGCCCACTTGAGGCCTCGAAATAGACCTTGATTTTGATACGAGTAGAACCAACCAACAAAATCAAACGCCTGGAGGCTAAGCCTTACCTGCCGGGCACCAAGCTCTACCAACAATCCAACGGGGATGGACGTCATATGATAGCGGGTGCTATTGGATGCAGGTATCGTGAGATACGGCCGTATCCAAGGTCAGCAAGAAGTTGTACTTTCAACACCTGGTTCCGCAGTCCGAAGACTTGCCCTGAACTTCACCGCTCGCTTTCCCCCTAATACAACCTCAAACAGGCAAAAATAAACAACAGGCGCCTTCGTACGGCATTGGATAAAAGACCGTCGAGTCTTGTTCTAGCCGCTTGTCCATCATGGTCGGACAACTCAGCGGTCGTGTTTGATTCACCAATGTTGCACTACCTATTCTCCGATTAGTCCTCGAGTTTTCTAGAATATTTCTCAAGCGGTCAACTAGCTAAAAATTGTACTTACAGCTTAAAATCCTATGATCTTCGACGATGGGTAACACAAATGCCAGATCATCAGTCCTAGTCGAACGTCATGACTGCCTAGGTATTTACCATATTACCACGTTGGGTCAAGAGAAAGGCAAACCGACGGTTTCAGATAGCCAAGGCGTTTTTCGACGAGGCTCCCAAGATTAACCACTGAGCAAAAAGCATGGCTAAGGGAATGTGGCCAGGCTACCATAATTCCCGAGCTTACTATAGCTCTAGCTAATAGATTTAGTAAATGAACGAGCATGCATCATCTATTCGTCTCTATTCCCACGCCGTGTTACGACGACGTCTCGTCATCTTTCATATCAAATTTCATGTTTCCGATGTCATAACACACTTTGGCGAAGCGTCCGGTAGCCTCATCTCCCATCTATGTAGGTAGTGGAACCCTATCCTTTACCCCCATGGGCAGATCGCGGGACGCCGCTGACACATGGCATGCGAAGTGGCTGCCACACGCACAGCTCTAGATAATCACCGATATGCTCAGATCAGTCGATCCCCTGGTACCGCCGCCCGGCCAGCGTCCAGTAGCCCCCGATACTGAAGCCCGTCGGGCGTGGAGGGGGGGGGGGACGAAAAGGAGAAGGACGAACCGAACCGAGTCCGACACAGCTGCATCTCTCTTTCGTATATGCTTATGTTTGTTGATGATGTGGTATGACGGTATGACGGAAGCTACTCATATGTGCGGCGTTACACCCGTGAGATGAACACGCTAGCAACGCAAATAGATGATGGCTTGCGCAATGGCAAATGCCAAAACATCCAGATCGAGGGACCCTACGTGCATGAGGCTGCACGAGAGCTCCATCTCAAAGTAGTGTTCCAAAACGTGGACCCCTAATATCAAAAGGCCACCTCCGCCCACTGCTGGGGCGTTGCCGGGAATCTCTTCGATACATATTACTGAAGAGCGGTTGGGTGGAACCGGATGCACAACGGTTTATCCCAAGTGGATCGCGAGAATATCGATGTTCCGACTCAGAGAAGAAAAGGAGGAAAGGAGAGAGACAACTCAGCGCATCGGGACGAGTCCTAACATCCACGTTGCCTCTATCAGCCCATGTAAACAAAGAGAATTATAGCATCGATTTCGTTCCCGTAAGATCTCATTCTAATTCGATCGGTTCCGTTGTCAACATCCTAGCACACGCAGTCTTCCCATGCCGACAATGCCTTCTCCAGGTATTGCGCCACCAAGCCGACCCATCAACCAAAATAACGCCTTGCACCTTCAGCCTACCTACTATTTCCCTTTTCTGACCCTGACTCTCGATGCTAGTCCAACCTTTAGCGAGTGGTCCCCGTACCGCAACTTTTACTTCATGTCCTTACGACATCAATCTCGTCCGACTCCACTAAGCCAGTCGAGATCAATCCCATCCCTCCCTCTCGTATGCGCCATCGCCCGGAAGGTATCATACGGTACGTGGACCCTAGGATAGGAAAGCTAGACATACAAGTGGTTTAGTCCACGCCGCCTAGAAACCAGCCTGGCGGCTTACGGGAATGAAAAAGAAAAATGTGGAAAAAGCAATGGGTCCAGCTGCCCACATATCAGGTTATGAAGGCTCAAGAAACTTCTATTCCATGTTAACCTACTTGCATATACCAGCGCCTACTATTCTTATAAACCAGTAAAGGGGCAAGAATACCGTATATAAGTCAATAGACAGAGCCCAGATATAAACCACATGCAGGCTCGCTACATTACGAGGTTTTGCTAGGCCGCAAGTCACACGGGTTCGTAGCAATAAGTAAACTCACCGATTCTCGGCTACGTAGGGTTTGTCCTTCGAGATATGTAGAGAGCGCGGAAATCACTATTAACCGGAACTCGCCGCTTCAAGCAAGCCGGCTATACAGTTAGGGGTAGACATTGACATACAAGGCAGTATTCGCAAGTTCATGATTAAAGCTAAAATTCCCGTAAAGCATAGTCCCACGAAAGCCATTAGCCAAGTTATCCCAACAATAAATGAGATATAAGTGGTCGGCCCGAACACATTCCCGATAGTAGACCAAAATTCTCATACATGTTATCATTACCGTGATCATAACCGTAGGCTAAATTCCAATCGCCCTCCTTAAGATTTCATTTAAGCCAAGCTCCCCATAGGATCCCATAGGGGCAGTACAATCGGCTCCTTAGTTAGCACGTCTCTAACCTTTCTAGCGAGGAACTTCGGGTCAACCACAGCCTGGTATACAAACTCGTCCATCCATCGGTCGCTCATCACGAACCAGCCCTTAGACCCGACGTCCGTGCCCCAGCTATTCTGCACCTTCCAGCGGACGGGCCGGCCGTCGCCGTCGACGTGGACCGCCGTCAGCACCATGGCGTGGGTCATGGCGGACTCGCCGACGCGGAGGCGAGCCGCTTTGTCCAGCTTTCCATAGAGGTTGACATTAAAGCCAAGCTCGTAATCAAAAAGGTCTAGATCCATAATGCCGCTACCCCGCTCGCTGTACTTGCCCACGTCGGACCCGAAAAAGACGGGCAGTCCGGCTCGTAGCATGGATATGCATGCCTGCTTCAAGGTCTCGATATCAACGTTGATGTACGTGATTCCCCTACCGCCTACGATATTGCCCAGACGGTCGACGGTCATCAGGCTTAGAGGCTCGTGGCGCGGGTCGTGAACTAGGGAGACCATGCTAGAGATACTAGAGCTGGTAATGCGGAACTCGTGCGACGAGATGTCCTTGGCAAACCTGTACGGCGTCGAAACTACCGACCGCGCTCTCCCTTCCTTATCTAGGAAATTCCATTCGAACTCCTCGGAAGTACTAGGTGGTGGTCCCAAGGTCAACGTCAGGATGAGGTGAACCTCTCGTAGCATCTTGTCCTTGATAGCCGACAGACTCGCGGCAGTTGTCGCCGAGCTTTTGACCAAATCGCGCAGGATAACAGCATACTCGCGTAGCTTAGCGATGACGATAGAGTTGATAGTGCTGCTTGCCATAGCATTCCAGCTGTCAGGATACAAAGTCTGGGGTATAAGACCATACTTTTCAACTAGGTTGTAAACCATATCCCACTGACCACCATCGCTGATAGGGTCAGCAAGCAGTCTTTGAACCAGTCTCTCATCCAGTGGCTGGTCAGCAGTTTCGATGATATTCTCAAGGAAGAAGTTAGACTTTTCAAGCTTGTCCCAGAAAAATAGATAGGCCTGTGACAGCTCGAAGGAGTCTAAGTTGTACTTCTTCATGATAGCGATCCGGAATATATTAGTACTGGCAAATAGCCAGCATCTTCCCGAGGATCGCTGGTTTGTGATAGGAGCTCCCTCGAACGGGATACGAATATTGAACACATGCTGGTCCGTAATCTTAGTCGCTCGAGAAGCCAGAACATCTCGCGGGTTCGCAGAGCTGAAGGCCGAGAGAGCTAATCTAATCATGAGAGACAAGACACCATCAGCTCTGAGCATCAATGCCACTGGTGATTATTCCTAAGAATTAGGTATAAGAATTAGGTACAAGGCTACAAACCTGTTCTTGGGATCTGCAAGCACCTTAGACTGCCAATTCTGCGTCAGTTCAATAGCCAGCTTTTCCGGCTGTCTAGATATGCCGCCATTGAAGAGTGCTCCCTTCTCCTTGTCAATATGGACAAAGCCGTCCTCTGAGCTAAGCGCCTGTAGGCGTTCTAATATGGCTTTTTCATGTGCGACGGCTGCCATCACCTCAGGCGAGCTCTTAGACTGCTGCGCACCCATAGTAGTTGCGATAACTAAAGCGAGTACGAGCTCGATTCGGAGGTCCTATCTTCAATATTTTCTTAGTAGATTGGGGGCTTAGATAGATTTTTGATATGTTATTCACGATCCTATAATATGTAGGTTGTATACCTATTAGTACAGTTAGAATATGAAGTACCTATGTAGGGTAATGTATTAGAAATAGCGCCCTACATGTAGGTATAGATTGCTACCTAAGGTTATCTCAACAAAAGGATCAAGAGGACCTTCCTGTTTCTGATTGCGTCTTATGATATTACGTGCTTGATAAGCAGAAGCCTGTACTCTGATTGGTACAAAGGAGACTGGTTCCAATCCGGTGACCTCGGTTGAACCTTACCTTAGATAGGATTGCATTAGATGCATAACACCAAACACCTTGATGACCATCACACCTTTTAGGTAAAGATAAGCGACCCTCATGATAGGCACGAAATACACACAAGCAAGCAAAGACAACAATCAGGTATGTACGTTAAAGACTTGACATTGTATTACCATCCATATACAGAACTATGTATCAACTGATATGCCAAAATCCGCAACGTCCTTTTTCCAATCCATACATAATTACGCGCGAAAGATCTGAGAAGCAATCTTTTGAGATCAACCGCGACTCCATCATAAACCATCAGCATAAGAAAACTCCCCTTTTATGATGACATTAAATTGACCACAGTTGATCCCCACACCCTAAAATATCTTTACAAGCTGGAAGCGTGGATGACCTTCATGTCAACGACAAGCTCACGGCCACCATCGTTCAGCACTAGAACGCGGACACTGCCGTGGCCGGCGTTGAAGGCCTGGGTAAGGCGCTGCCACAGGTTGGACTGGTCAATGACGGGGACACCGGTCTTGACATCACCAGTCTCGGTCATGGCGACGACGGAACCATCTTGGATGTCGAGGACACGGTATTGCTTGAAGACGGGACCAAGCATGGTCTGGACAACAACGCTGGGAGCAGGGTTGGAGACGAAAGAAGACTCTTCGTGTAGCTGCTTGGTGAAGAGGTCGACACCAAGGTAACGGTGCTGGCCAGTAGCCGACGAGGTCGAGATACGGATGACCTGGCAGGGGCGACCCTGAAGGATCAAGATATCACCCATGCGGACATGGTGGCAGGGGATGGTAACAGTGTTAGGAATGGAAGGAGCTCCGTTGGACTTAGAGCCGGAGGTACGAGAGTCGCGGACGATGTCGACACGCTCGCCCTCGGGGTGGAAGACACGGTCAGCCATTTTGTGCAGTCCTTCACGGAGTGAGTGGTGGTGTCCTGCGCAAGTTAGCAATTTGGTCTACAACGATAGCAGGCTAGCACTTGAACTAACCGGTTGAGTCGTAATATCCCATTCTACTCTTCTTAGAGCTTGGGCTAGGAGGCTGTCGAGGATACTCTACGGTTTCCTCGGCAATTTCTGCGTCCCTGTGGTAGGATGAACCGGCCTTGGGGGGATCAACAGTTGATTCGCTGATGCGGATTTCTTCGGTGAAGCTGGGGATAGGCTTGGGAGGGTCGATAGTAGACTCAGAGACGTGGGTGTGAGTATGCTCGCTAGCGAAGTGAGAGACTGGCCTGGGAGGGTCGACAGTACTGGCGGCTACGCTGATGTTGTCTTTATAGACGGATGGCTGAGCTCGAGCGCGATACTCACGTTCGATGCGGTCAATGGAACTAAGGTGGGGATTGTGGCGGTCGACCTCAATTGAAGTCTCTGCGTAAGTGAAAGAGGAGGAAGGGCGAGAGGGCTTGGGCTTGAAATGGTGTTCAGAGTGAGAAGTGTGAGGTCTATCGGAAGAGGTTTGTTGTCAGTTGAAGATATTTTTACAAGTTACTTAGCCAACGGGGGATTGACCAAGTCCCAGCCACTCGACAGGGATCCCAGAAAATGAACAATGCACTGGCCCCATGGCTCCATCTTGGCCAATTTAGTTCAATTGAGTCCGTTGCGGGCCGGAATTGACACAGACCAGAAGCTCGGGCTCTGATAATGGAGCCAGTTGCGTAATTTATTGAAATCCAAGCTCTTTTTACGAAATGAAGGGCTCTAAGAATCAAGAAAATATGGTAGACTGACCTGTGCTCCTCGTAATGCTCACGGTGGGCACCGGGACGGCGGTAACGTTCTTCTTCACGTGTGATGCGGACCTCTTCTTCGCTGAAGTGTGGCTCCTGACGCGGAGGTAGCTGAGCTGAAGCAGAGATAGAAGAGTATTGACCTTCCCGTCCGGCTTTCTCTGCTTTTGCGGGGAGATCGATCTGAATCTCTTCGTGAGTGTGGGTGGTGGTCTCTACCTCAGTCTCCTTGTATGTCCGAGGGAAGATACTAAAGGGGACCGGTACGCGGGCTTCAAAGTCCAGGTTGGCGACCTTATCGGCGCGAGAGTCCTCTCCTCGACAACCTTTCGACTAAGGGCGAAAGGAAGACAAGAAGATTCCTCTTGCTCTTCTTTCTACTATACTGAAAGAAAAGAAGGGAGGAGAAGCAGGCGGAAATTGCTCGCTTCTGTACTCGATTCTCTCGTTCAGGCTGGAAGAGCGGGGAAAGATTGGCTGTATTGGGTTGTGAAAGAGATGTTTGGGTTTGATGGTTAGAAGAAAAGGAGGTGAAGTGTCAGAACAGTTTATTGGAAGGAAAGAAATAGGAGAGGCTGCAGGGAGAAAGATGGGCAGTACCGATGTTATTGTACTGTACTGGGGGGGTCACTGTGGGTTACTGCGGGTTGTTGTGGGAGGGAAGGAAGCACTGGCGTGGCAGGTCGTGTTCGCAGGTTGCCCGGAGCTTCTACAGGGGTTGAGTGGGAAGGAGCTTGTTTACTTGAGTGGGTCATCATGGGTCTGGTGTGTTTATCCTACCCCAAAACAAGTTAAGCGGCTGGGGACTAGGGGATATTACAGAAGACAGGGAAATTGAGACGGGTTTTCGCACGGGGACAGTAAGTTACGACCAAGTTCGCTCTTGCACTGTCTGTCTTCCTTTACCAGTTTCCTACTGTCTCCTTGTTTCCAGCCATTTCTGGCCCCCCGTTCAACCTCCTCCCTTGACTCCCTGGTTCGCCCGTAGTTTCGCTTTTCACCGTTTGCCGGGGAAGTCCACCCAATGGCCTATCCATATTGGGCCACCGGGTCACTAGGCCACCGGTGATGATCAGATCGAACCAACAAATACCCCTAGCCGGTCCAGCCTCCTCTTAGCTTTGATAGCCTACATACATACATATGTACCTACTATGTATGTAGTAGGTACCAAAACAAAAACAAAGAGGCCAGTCGCCAGCCTTCCTCGGTTGTGACATCTATCGATTTGAACCGAGCAAATAGAGAGACGGAGATTGAGGACTTACGGTCACTATTACATACATGTAGCATTGAGCGTGCGTATCGCCCATGGAACTCCCATATGTATCAACCTCAATCAGTGTTATATTTGCATAATAATACGATTTCACCGCTCACCATTGCAGCACATATCACACATATTACACGTACCGTAAGAAGTTTACAGTTCAGAGTCTGAACTTCAGACTGGGTAACGCAGCAGCTATTGATTGCCTGCCGCTGTAGGAAATCGAAGAGGCTGGTATCTCCCGAGAAAAGCTAGCAGAGCGTTTCATTTTCTCATCTTCGAAAAGCTGGGCACTACGAAACCAACCACTTATAGAGCCAATAGCTGAATCGGTCTTATATGCACGGACGAATCACGGCTGAGGATGATATGATTCCCAACCACCTTTGCTGACACTTGCAGATTAAAGCAAGGCATCTTCAATTACGCGTAATATCGTGGGTTCCGCTCATTGGGTTATGCAGTGGATTGTGGTGTGCGACTCAGCTGGACTTATGCACGCCTAATGCAGACGGGCTGAGCAGTAGCATTGAAGTGAGCTTTGCTTTTCCGTTGCACACTGTCAGTCCCACAGTCCCATAATCCCATACATAGTCCCATACTATGTATGTAGTCCCACAGGGCGTCAGATCTCACTCACGTCGGGTGGGGTCTAACCTTCAAATCTGGTGCAACTGGAGTTATCTTTCGATAAATTCAACTCAAACCCTCCTTGATTGTCTTGATGTCACCAATTGATTGGCATCGTCCGGTCAATTGCTATGTTTCAAGCCATCAACACGCTCTCATACGTCTCAAATACCGGGAGAAGTGTTCGGTCCACGTTTCTTACTGATGTCCAATTTACCCCTGATCGCCAAATCTCCAATTCGTTGCTATGACAACCGGTTACTAAAACCACGCTACTTAATACAGATCCTTACCTTCTGGATCAAAGTGGAGACGCCAGGATTTTTTTTACGAGCCATTAGCTTCCTGATTTGGAGAGATTCGAGAGAAGCTGTTGCCAACCGGTCCTACCACAAGTCGTGAATCTATCGTTCGTCACATGTCCGAGCTCGAAGATCTGTTTCGCAATCGATGCGACTAGCTACCTAGTAGATAGCTAATTATACGCGAGATCTTAACATTATCGAATTACCGTATCCGAAGATCCCGCAAAAAGCACTGATAAAAGCTTGGAAGCAATGTTAGTTACGAGGCCAACCCCGTCCCAAAGCTTGGACATTATACCTGGGTCAGCTTCATGTAGCCAATATGTCGAGACGCCAATCACTTAATAAGCTCTACGGTTTTAGACAGCTGAAGTCACGATAAAAATAAGAACTTTTGGCATAGGATTGTAAGTGCCTCGGTAATGCTAATTCACTTGTGATGATGTAGTACGGCTGAATCATCACGACATGCAGGCGCCTACTGAATATGGACCCTTCTTCAGCTCTACGTAGTACGGTCTTTGATAGTGCACCCTGGTGGTTTATGGAGCTATTGTAAATTCGCTTTTAGGGGTTGGTTAATGGACAACATGCAAAGACGGTGACCAGAAGCAGCCAATGTGACCCGAATAACTACGATACAGCTTTAAAGAGGACAATGGCTGTGGATTTGGATCTAGTTCACACGTCAGGATACGATAGGGTAGGCTATTCCGAGATGATGTCCTTACCGCTCAAACCATCTCGAAAACGCTTGGCTACCCCTAATGATTTTGAAGAATGTTGTCTCTTGGAATAAGCGAGCATCCGGCGCCAGCAGAGCACGCCCACGTATAATCATTGCGAGTAGCTATTCCGGTAAGCGAGCTGAGTCTGCTATCGTAAGACGAGCCCGAATGCTGCGGCGTAAGAAATCCTAACGTCGAGCGTTTGCCAAGTAGCTATTAGTCCGTGTCATGATAAACCTGAAGCTTCTCAAATAGACATCGTTGTTCTTTTCCCACCCGTTCGATGACACGCGATAAGACATTGTATCGCTTTTGCAGCTCAATTCGTAGAGCTGTACCTACCGTATGGTGATAGAGCTTCTCGACAACTCATCCTACCACATGCAAGTATACCCGTCCACACTATGATCTCTGTATTGCAGATATACACGTTGGCTCGCGCACGAGCCGGACCGTCTATCCACGCGGTCAGCCCGTAGCGAGCTCATTGTCAACAGGTTATGGGTCTGTCTCCATACCCCGTATGCGTTGTTCGACCCGGTTTCGACGGTTATCCCCACGTGCCGAGACGCCGTATCCGCTTGACCACCGTACGGTGCGTGCGAGAGTGTCGGTCGGGAGGCCGGGTTCAGGCAGTTTTCGCTTCCCGTGCTCGACCATGAAACGCGGCAGTCGTGTCAATCTGCAAAGTGCCGTTTAGAAGTTGTGGTGACCCCCCCTCGCCTTTGGCTACGGGCCCGTAGCTGCATGCTGCAGCGCTTAGGGAAAAGATGTCTTGGAACTTCATATTCGCGTCGCCCCGTAGAACGTCAAGCACACGCCACCTTCTGACCTCTATGATGCAAGACGGTGAATATAGTATGTGGACTTGCCACATATACACGGCGAGATCAGGATTCTTGTAGAAGTTCGACGTCTACTCCGCAACGGGTTTGTCGGTATACCCACCCGACGGAATGCTTCGTACTGTCTAGCTTCGGTAGCGAGAGGTGCAGCAATTCTCCACACGTATCCATCATCTTATGCGCAATGGTGGATATAGATTTGATATCAAATCGGATTGTTTGAGTTGGGCATCGTTGACTGTTTGCACCATTGAGCGTAGAGTAAAATGCTAAGCAATTCCTAAGGCGTCTGAGTAGGGTTCGTCTGGGTAACAACAGATCTTTGGCATAGACCCGTTCAGCAATATGATATAAGTTGTAATGAAGAAAGAATAGTATACAATCTCAATCATGTACGACTTTGAGTATAACGCAAGTATATATCGTTTCAACTATCAGGTAATCGTAGAATACATACATACCTACCTACATACATACATACATAGATGCTCCGCTTAAGTTCCCGGATTATAATTCGGTAACGGATGGGTATATATCGTATGCTTCGGTGACCCGTGTACTAGGCAGGTATACAGCTTTGGCTACCCACCTATCAAGTCGACTTTAAAGAAAGTTAG